TATCTTCATTATTGTTTTGTTAATCGAATAAACCCTTTCCAGAAGGAGGAGGGGGGGGGGAGAAAGACAGACGTAAACGATCTAAATTTTGTCTTCCGCAGACGCTTCTTCCTTTATTCGTCCGAAATTAATATTCTGCGTTCAGCAGTCGGCTAAATGCCAAATATTTGTATGTTGCATCGCTTATTTAGTAGCTGCATTTGCTGTTTATTTTTTAAAATTTAATTTTTTTAATTATAATTTTGCAGCATTGAGCATAATCTTGTATGTCTTTGCAATTTAGAAACTCCTTGAAAAAGTTTTTTTTTTTTGCAATAACAGACCCTATTTGCACAAATTCACAAAAGCGAACCCTGGTTGAAAGAATGTGACTTAACTTTTATTTTATATTCACAAATTACGAGTAATTTTTTCACAATTTTACAAAAAACGGACCGTTCATAAAATGTCTGGACAGACCCCTGACATGACAAAAAAAAATATAATTAGTAAAATAAATTAAATAGCTGAAGTCAGCTTTGTCTTTTAAAAAATAATCGTGGTTTATTTATTTATTTTTTTTAAACAAAATGTATGCATTTCTCCTCCAAACTGATAATAAAATAATATGCTATTTTAAAATATAATTTTATTTTCAGAAATTTAATATAGCATTTTATCTCATTTTTGTACATTTTTCTAATATTATCAGTTAGCCACATTCAGCAACTAGTTTTCTTCATTTTTAAATATACATGGCTGTTGAAAGGTCAAGTTTATCCTTATAATTTGGTTAGAAAGATATGGTCCAAATTTGGGACTTCTCTCTTTATAAAGAAGCATTATTTAGCATTTCTGTCAATTAGGCTTACCCTCTAAATTGAATTGCCCCAATAATTACAAAATATTAAACTGAAACTTTGTTAATTTTTCTATTTATCTCTTAAAGAACAAACACATGGTACAAATATAATCTTCCTAAGTTTATAGGAAGTGGAAGAATTATCGATGAGTCTGTGAGTTGCAATGCCTTTTATATATAGAGATTAGTTTTTATTTATAAGTTATGCAGATAGTATATAAAACTGAAGTTTAAGTACAAGATTAAATGCAATAAATTGTTAATGTTTTTAACTTTTAGACCAGTTAGTTTATTTTCTGAGTTTTTTTTCATTCATGTACTGATTTTGTTTTTCATTTACTAATCTTGTTTGAAGTAGTTGATGTTAAACAATTATGTATGTTACATATGAAGGTGGAACTATATAGATTTGTAATCCTTACATTGTCTTTGCTTTATGTGAATTCATTGATATTTTTATGTGATTGATAGAAATGTTTAGGTTGAGAAAAAAGTATGATTTTTATAAACAGTTGTTTTTTAGCTTGAATTCCTACATGTTCAAAGGAATACATTTGTGGACTAAAATTTCTCAGAAATCATGTTCTAGAATGTTTTATTTACAGTTAACTCATCTTAACATCTTTTCACTAAACAAGAAAAAAAGACGTATAATATAAATTTTACTGTTTATGAAATCAAAAGTTTTGTATTATATTTTTTCTCTAACCTGTTTAAATATCTTAACTTTATTTGAATGAGAAATGTTGTAAGAAAAATAATTAATACATATTGTAAAATATTAATTTGCTTTTGTTATAGAGAACTTGTGTAAATTCTCATTCTTATCATTGCATGTTGTTCAGTTGTATAGGCAATATAAGTTACTTTTATTTAGAATTACTAATTAGAATGTGATATTAATTTGACAGATCTTAATTATTTTTCTTAACTTTGATTAGATCTTTGGAGTTACACCTGATGTTTTTGATTTGGTCATCAGAACTGGTATAAATATGTCAGAATTGTTTGGACGAACTTGGAAAGTGATTCAGTCCCCTATTGAAAAAATAAATCATTCTCCCAGCTCTTCTAGTCTTGATTCTATGTCTGTTAGTTCTCACAGAGACTCTGTTTTTACATCAGATTCGATATCGCTAAGTTCTAGAAAAATTAGTACCATAAGCGCAATTTCAGACACTCAGTCAAGGAAAGACTCTGAAGTGTCAAAAAATATTGACATGAGAGCGTTCCACGAAGAAGTTTCAGGAGGTGACTCTTTTAACACCGGTGATATCAATTGCAATCGATCCGCTACCCGTGATAGACTTCTCAGTGTAACTAATAGAACAGGTTCTTATTCAAGCTTAGATAGTGATTCATTGTGTGCTGAGCGAACATTGATGTGCCCGATTGAAAGTGTTGTAGACCATTCTAGTGCTAATGTGCTTTGGATGTGGATTAGTGCGAGTGGATGTGCTGTTTATTCAGAATCTCTACCAAATTGGTTTTCTGAAGGTATGTTATTATTTAAATATTTTTTATTTCATTAAAAGAAAATTAAAAGCAAAAGAAAAATGTACAAATGTAAAGCCTTAGACATGCAAAAATAATAACAGTGCCACTACTCAGAGTTATAAAAGATGGCAAGAAGAGTAACACAAATTATATATGCTTGGTTTATTATCAGCTCTCGTGAGAGCAATGGTTCTGCTTATGTGCTATAGCAAGTCAAATAGGTCAAAAGTTGTTAAGGGAACTGGAAAAAAAGAGGGTATTAATAGAATGCAAATTAGGTTCAGATTTAAGTAGGCAAAACTTAACTTTAAGGAAAAAGAAACAATAACTTTAAAAAAAAAAAGAAAAATAATTTTTGTTACTAGAAGGAAAATTTAAACAAAATGGAAAATAAAAAGATGTGAGGACAATTTTAAAACATTTATGATGATTTCAGTTCAGACTGCTGTCACTAACGAATATTAAGTCAAAGTGCTGTCACTGAGAATGTGTGTGATTATAAATTGTAAAATTGAATCTACAACTCCATTACAAAATGAATTTACAAATTAAATTTACAACTCAAATTTAATTTGTAATAGTGTAAATATGAATGGTATATTATTTTAAATAAGGAGCCACTTATAATAAAAAAGTTATCAGAAATTAGTATGTGGCCTGGGTCTTAAGGATCCCTAGTTTCCACAGTCACTGTGTGAGTATTTATTGTGAATGTAAAGTGAATCCTAGAAGAATGCATCTAAAAGAGAACAATACGAAGTATTACTTTTTTTTAGTGGTAGAAGGTAAGAGCACCATTACTTTACTCATATCAGACTAAGTGTTGAGCAGGTGTCACAAATCATAACTCTTGAATTACCTTTAATTATTTCATCAATGCCAATAAGGAATGCATTGGAGAGAATGGTCTTTGCTTGCCTTGGGTGTTTTTTGGGTGTTGAGTGGTGTTTGCTTGTTGGTTGTAGATGTTCACCCTTTACAAAAGCTTATGCACCAATTATTTACATCCATTTACCCTAGGCATATGCTTTCTATCACCAAATATTTAACAATAAATATTCGCATTATGCTCATTTTTTGCCACAAAAAATAGTTCTAATAGGTGTTGTTCTATCATGGACTCAATCATCTTAACATGACTTTTCGTTCAGTTCAAATGTTCTCATGCAAACTAGTTACTAATTTGAGTGCAATCAAAAACACACTTTTTTCACTATAATTTGAAAGGGTGGCCACTAGGTGTATTTTGCCCTCTTATGTGTATCCTTATATTTTTAGAAATAATTTTGAATATCCCCAAATATTTCATTTAGTATTTATTGAACTAAATTTTTTCATATTTAAATTGGTTTGTATATCATGATCTACTATTTTTATCTATTAAAAGTTTCTATTTGCCATAGGCAGTACAGTAAGCAAAAGTGCTGTAGATGAACCTTGGTATACTGAGGTTATATCGCTGCTCAAAGAACGCTATAAACGTGAAGTAATGGAGTTTTCTTCATATCCTAAAGCTATAGAAAGGGTATGCTATCTTTTGTAGTTATTTATTTATTTATTTTTATTTCCACTAGCAGGGGACTTGACAAAATGTAACAAGTAAAAACAAAGAACAAGGAACAATAAAGAAAAATAATTAAATAGAAAAAGTCCTTTTCTCATTCAACTTTTTGCTTCCCGCTATCGCTTGACCAAGGTAGTCCCACAAAGCAGTCTGCAGCAGCAAATATTGTGGCCATCAATAATGACGTATCTAGTTTAGGCTAGACGCAAGTTTTACGGATCTATCAACCAAATTCATTGCAGACCCCTTCCTCCTTTAAAAAAATTACATTATTTTATTTCAATATTTTGAATTTTTAATATTTTGAAGAATTTGTGAAGACACTTTAATCAAAATTGTAGTTTTAAATATTTTTTTTTGCTAATATGCAAGGATTTTCTGCAATCTTCTTTTAAAAAATTACTTCAAAGACACTACAATGTACTAAATTTTTTGTATGGAACTTTAACTGGGCCCTCAGCAGTCCTGGGCGCTGGAACAATTGTCCCTGTCTTCCCCCCTTGAGTTGGGTCTTGACTACATGTTCTCCATGATGGGTACAACTGGGGTCTGGAAAGTCTAAATATTACTACTGCCTCATGGGAGTGGGCCAGTCAGGCATGCAAATTTCTTTTAAGAATAACCAACTTTTGGAATCAGTTTTAGTCCTCAAATTTTCTTTATGTTGAGAAGAAAAAGAATTCTTGATAAGATGATTTATTCTACTAAATGCATTGTTACTACATGTTAGCTGTAAAGCGCCAGCACCTTTCTTTGTCAGCGAATCAGCCTTTTCATTACCATTTAGTCCACAGTGGCTCAGGATCCACTGAGGAGCAATAGTCTTGTCCATCAATTCCAACTTTTTTATGGTTAGTTGTAAATCCAAGATATCCCAGGAGATTAGGTTATGAGAATATGCCTATGCGCAGGATAGCAGCTCTAGAATTGGAGAGGATGACAGCCTTTTGAAACCTATCAAGTTGTTATTAATTGTTCCAGAGCTATGCATATTGCTGAGACCTCTCTATCAAAAAGTGTTTGATAACTTTCAATAGGAGAGTTAAAAAAAAAATTTAAAAAGCAAACACATTTTATAATACGGTGTTTTGGAAACTAGTCAGTTATTAATTGTATGCTTTAGATTTTGGTACATCTAAGAAGAGGTCTGAGTTGCAGTTTTGTTTTAGCTATTTGCCATTTTCTTTGCTCCATGCCTCCAGCACATGAAGTGCTCAGTTTAGAGTAGCATCAATTAATGTTTTGGAGTGTCTTATTGATGATTGCATCCACAAGTCCAAGTCGTCAAAAAATAGTAGGCTGTTCACACCTGGCACTGACTTAAATGATTGAATTAGATGTTCTATGCAAATATGGAAAAGGGAGCAGCTATGGCAGACCAGTTTGAAGTCTATAGCTCACAGACAAACAATTACCGTATCGGACCCTACAGCTCCTCTGGTAGAGAAAAGAACAAAACCAGCTTAACATCTAGTTACTATCTTAGTTTAGTAGCTTTTATCGCCAAATAGAATTGTACTCTAAGTTAAAATGGACATAAACACAGCTGTAAGAACATTCTTCTAGTCCAATGAATCTTTTATTATTTGACTGAAAACTACTAGCCTTCTGTCTTGATATTTTGTCAAAACTTTTAGTAAATCAATTTAGTCTATTGTTTACTATTCTTTCCATCAATTTATTAATATAGCAGTACTGGTAGGAGAAAATAGTCTATAAATTAGCAAGGATTATGCTTTTTAACTTTTCTTGAAAATTGGAATTATATGAGCCATTTTCCAAGTTATGGGGACAGTACCATATATAATAAATTAATAATTTAAAATAGGCTAGAGCTCTTTCTTTGCATTATTCCCAAAGTGCCTTTGAAATCTTTAGTATTTATGAACTCATGCAAAGTTGTGTAAATAATTAAAATATGTGGGATTACTAAAATCTCATATGAATCTTATTTTAGTGTTCTGCTCTCTATGCATGCATGCATAGTTAAATAGTTCCATTTACTGATTAACTTTTCGAATAAATTTAAATATTATTGACTAAACTTGCTAATGAGTGGTCACTCACCTGCTTTCTTTCTAGTTCAATAAAATTTACCACAGATTTATTATGATCTCTACATAATGCTACAATGAATCGATTTTTTTAAAATTGAGTCTTCGACAAAGATAGTAACATTTATCTGTATATTACAATTTATGAATATTTTTTTTAAATAACTCTTTTATTATTTTTTCTATGCTAAAAGTTATTTTTTAAAAAAATTTAACCTATGGCATTATGTTTTTGACCATAAAAACTTCAAAAGAGTTTTCATATACTCTAACCTCATCTTATTATTTTTATTTTATTTATTAATTAACTAATGTATTTATTTTTTGATACTGAGAAAAAGTTATCTATAGCCTTGTGTCAGTATAACCTCACATATGAGGCAAACTAGTTTCACATTTTTCTTATAAAAATATTTTTTTTCTCACTCCTGATTGTTTACTTATTAGATAAAATTTTATTATTCCAGATAAATGAACACAATTATAAATGAATAATAAAAACAGGATAATGGCGTAAAAAAATAAATTTATTGAAACTGAATTGGGTCATACTAACTTTACTTTCTATAACTAACATACTTTATTTTCTAAAATAACAATAATAATTTGCCACAGACTTTGAAATATTTTTTTTATTTCTTCCTGAAGTCCTTTTCAAGTTGAAGTTTTCTTTTCATGAGAATGGGAAAAAAATCACTCAGCCTGTTTTCTTTCTTTAGTATAGAAATTTCAGATCTGACCCTTCCCTCTTTAATTAAAAGCTGATGAATTTTTTTTTTTTAACTCAGCAATAACCTCTAAGAAGTAACAAATCATAAAAATGTAACACAGCATCAGAGCTTGAACAATTCTGATTATAAAATTGCATACCTCAACTCATGCAAAAATGTTTATAAGATCTAGTCTTTGAAGCATAAAACATAATATTAAAAAAAATGAAAAAATAATGATTTAAATTAACAAAAAAAAATTATATTTAATGTAACAATTAAATTGCAACTCTCAGAAACTAAGTAACAGGATCAAATTCAAAATATCTTCAACTCTCCCTGGTTTCAAACATACCAACCCACACCATACAATTTATTGATGTAAAATATTACCTCTTTATACATAACTTTAATACATTACATTATTTTATCCTCTCTCTATTAAAAATGCATATTCAGTAGTATTTTTTGACTTAATTTTCACTAAAATTATTGGTGCTTTGTTTTAAATGTAGAGCACATGGGTGAAGACTGCTGCTTGCCGGTTCTTTAAAAATGCTTGGGTAAACTGTGTTCTTGAACTTACACAACATGGAGATTCTAATCACAAAAGTATTCTAACTTGTCACTATAAAAAAGAACAGGTTGGTTTTTTTTTTAATCTTTTATATTTCGCAATATTTCTTACTTTTGACTTTGTATTCATTAAGTGTCTATCTTTTTGATTTCATTAAATTAATTATAATTCATTAGTTAGAAAGGTTCATGGAATTAAGTTTTTCTTTATGTAAGCTATTTATGTTAGCTTCTTATTCATTGTATTAAATTATAATTGGTTACATGTATGTAAAAACAGGAAATAAAAGTTACTTTTCTTCTTTACACACTTGTGAAAAAAATATTAACCTATAAACTTTGATTTTTATTTTTAAATATATTAAGCAGTTACTTGATTAAAAACTTCATTCACTCCAAAAATATACAAATTGGAATCTTATTTCAATTCCAATTTGTATATTTTTGAAGGGAATGAAGTTTTTAATCAAGTAATATCTTTCTATGATTATATTCAGTTTTTCAGATTCAGACTTCAGTTTTTTGAGATTATTTATTTAAGTTAAACAGTTATTTAAAGGAAATTGTAATTCATTTCTTAATTTTGTTATTTTAATATTTTATTGCTTATTTTGATGACAGTATATAATATTTTATTCAAATTTTCTGGATATGCCTTGATAAATGTGTATTTTACACATTTTAATACTCAAATTTTATTTATGTATTTGCTTTCAGATTGTATTCATGTATAATTTCTTTTCTTTAAACTTGAATTAAAACATAAAATGTTGCATAAAATTTTAATTCTGTATAAGCTTTCCTGTTATAATGGATAGTTAAATACCATATTATTAACCATAGTTATACAAGCACAAAAAATTTTTGTCTTTTTTTTTAATGTTTTGTTGTGTTTATGTTTTAAATGTTTATGTTAGACATAAACTTGGAATTTATTTATATTTTTTTTTAATTCTAAAACCCAAATATTAATTTTTAGTTATTCATTTAGATTAACTTTTATTGTTTTCCTCTCCTGTTTTTGTCTCATAAATTTGAATAAAACACTTTCTTTTTTCAATGCTTTCAGTGTCTGAATCGTTTTTTAAAAACCTTAAAATTTAACATTATATGTTAGCAATGCCTTTACTTTTCTACTTAAAATCTACTCAATATCATAGCCAATTGAAATTTTCTTCCAACAGTGTTTCCTTCTATTCAACAACTCGAGTTTTTAACTGCCTCTTCTAAAGTGCTAAGCACTTGGTTGGTTCTTTAATATTATATCCAGTTTTGAGAAAAGTTTGTCTCATTTCTGTAAAATTCTATTTCATTGTTGTAAACTTACTATACTTTATATTTCTTTCTATGCTTTGTTAATATCTTATTAATAATTGTTTTGAAAGTTTTCTTTTATTATCATTTTTGCTTTTCTTAGGTATCAGTTGCAGTCAATCACATTACTTGTGTTGTGAGTCTTCCTGATTGGAATAGAAATATACTTGTCATCCATACTGCAAGGAAAACCACTAAAGGCAGTCCGTACAAATTTGCTTTTACGTCCAATGATGACTTAGAAGATTGGGTAATTATTTATACATAAAACATGCATAAAATTTACTGTTATAATTAGAATGTTTACATATTCCAGAACATGTTAGTGTATTCCTGTTTATTACATATTGAAGGAAAAAAATTTATCTTACGATTTCTTGGACTGTACCAATAATAAAAGTAAAATTGTAAACAAAGCTGTCTGATGGAACTTAAAAGGATTACTCATAAGTGTGTGTTGCAAAAAAAAAAAAAAAAATTCCAATGCCCACCTGGGGAATGACCTTTCGACTCTACAGGCATATGAAGGACAGATTTGTTGTTCAGGGGCCAATATTGCTCCTACAATAAGAACAGATAGTAAGGAGAATGAAAGAACATCCATACCTTGCCCGTGATTCAAACCCAGAACCTTTCTGATGCAAGGCCAGTTGGCTGTCTCTGTGTAGCAAAAATTTCTGATTATGTTTCTGTTATTCTCCTTATACGAATGAATGATGAGATAATGTCAGCAACTTTTAACTGATAAGCAACTTTTTAGAATTGTTCCAGAGAGCTGTTTTTGATGAAAAAACTACATGATTTCTATGTGGATGATGAGATGTTTCTATGTTATGTGGGAAGAGTTTGGTCTAGCACTGAATTAGCCGTAGCCCTCTATATTTTTCATTCTCTAATGTAATGAGTATAGTTATATTACATTGAACGTTATATTTAGCATACACCGACTACTTACACAAGATATCACTTTTTTGCTTATATTTTATCGCCTTTCACTTAATTATACTCACCATTTATAAAAAAAGGTTGTTGGCAAAAATTAAATTTTCAAAACTTCTGTGCATTACCAAAAATTTGGGATTTTTAAGCAAACTGTTTGGACGAAAATAGTTTCAAATTTGAATTGCAAACATATTTTCCTATAGGTTTTTTTGAATGATCTTTAGTTTTAGATTTACACATTAAACATGGGGAAAAAATACTCGCAAGTCAACCAGTTGATAAATACTTGGTTGGTTCAATTATAGAGATATTTAATGTCAAACTAAAAGAAATTTCCTACAGCCGCACTGGCCATTTTCCTTCTAGCAAACCAGTACAAAGTAGCCTTCATGTGAAAGTTGTTAATGATCAAAGAATTGTTAATGTTGCTCAAAAATGGCCACGCTGATTAAATTTCATAGCCACTCTTGTGGAGCATGGAGGGAGAGACAGAAATGTCTATAAGGCGAAGGTGATTCTGAAGATAATCTTATCTTTAACAACTGTGAAATCTGTAGGAAAAATCAGTCAGGGAAGGTCCATGGGAATGGGATCGAGTATAAGGCTAAACCACATTTTTCCTGCAGCGCCAGCAGTTTGCTTGTTTTTAACTGATTTATTTGTCACCCCAAAAATGTTAAAAGAAATTTTTATTCTAAGGAAGTTCAAAAGAAGACTGTGAAAGTGAGCATCCTTTTTTGGTCATCAAGTCTTCCCTCTTGTTACCAGAGACATTGCAATGGCTGGGAATCCACTAGAAGAAAATTACCGAACTGCAATGTTGATGAGTTCATAGATTTTTTGTTCTGTTTTCTCTACATGTTCCAACTGTTGCTTTCAACAATTGCTTTAAAAAAAACGAAGTTTAAAGGTGGCTGGGTGCAAATAAACAAGAAGCACTGCATGGTTTAGAGATATTTAACAGATGGATTGTTGAACAGTTGACTGCTGTCTCAGCTTTAAAAATTGGGGCATTTATACTAACTGGGCGTGTGCCTTCCAACAAGTTTTCATAACAGAAGTCTGCTCCGTTTAAAAAAAATCCTCCTGGGAGGAGCCATCAGTATAGATGATGTCAAAACAAGTCATTACGCAATACCATCCTGTTTTTTTAAACCATAAAAAAAATTTTAAGACCATTTTTAATACTGAGCCAGCATTATTCATTTAAAAAGTAGAGTAAAAAAACTCTTTAATGTCCATACAAATAATTCCTCTCTTATTATTGAATGAGTACACATCTAGCTCATTCAGCTAAATTGAGACACCACCAATCAGACTAAATGTAAAATAATATTAATGTAATGCACTCATTAAATTTTTTTTTTCAAAATAAACAAGCTTGGATTTGTATCACTATTCAATGAAGCCTTCATTTATAAAAATGGTTAGTTCATTTATTAGATGTCGTGCTGTTTGATTGTGCATGTTTTGTTTTTATTTACTTTAGCTGTCTACATTAAACTCGGCATGCCGTAGTGTAAACAATCTCCCATGGATTCCAGATTTCACATCAGACTGGTCTCTTAGTGTCAATGGTGATGTTTATGTTCATAGTTCAAGTTGCCTACCTGAAAATGATCCACCAGTAAACATGTATGTTATGTAGCAAAAGTATTGCTCTTTTTATTTGAGTAACCCAGTGGAGTTACAATTAATTATTCTGATGTAAATTTTATATAATTGAGCCAGGGGGCAAAATTCTTGATCCTTATCAGGGACTACAAATTTGAGGCTCGTGACTAAAGTATTAAAATTTAAAAGGATACACTTTGAAAAGGCTACAACATAACAATTTTTCATTATTCTATTCATTTATTTTTTACAAAAATTATTATTAAGACTTCAATATAATTTTAAACCTTTCTTTTATTTATTTATATATTTTTCTTTAAAAAAAACACTCAATTCCACTGTTACAACGTGCAGGTGTTCAGCATTGGCATAAAAATTCACATTTTAGAAGAAAACATATATGATGATTTCCTTTTTACGGAATAATTTCAGTATATTGTTTATAAAAGGAATTTGTTTGTACGAGTAATGTTGAACATCCAGTTTTGGTCTATATACGAAATTATTGCTTGAACGAGATTGCTAGACTACTATATTTTAGTATCTAATGAGTGATCAAAACAAGCGCAGGTCACATAGAAATCAAATTAAAATTGTGAACTCTGTTCCAGAAGTTGACAAGCAATAGCACATAGAGAATTGTTGACCCGTAGATTAATTTAAAACCTTTTAAGAAGTATTTTATTTTATTTTATAACGGGCTTTAAAAAGTCAGCCCAATTCTGAGTTTACAGCTATCAATGTTCAACTCAGTAGCCTTGTATTTTTGAAACCAACCCAGAAGACAAGAGAACTCCTGGATCAAACATTGGGACAAACTAGTCTTTGTGGAGGTCTTTTTGATTAAACTAGCATTTGCTTTACATGGAGTGGAAAACCCTGAAAACCGCCCACAGTTAGCCTAATGGCTAGGTGATTCTAACCCATATTCACCACTGAGAATATTTTATCTCAGCACTGTAGTCGTGTGATCCAGGGGCAGAAATAATATCAAACAGCCATTACTCTGATTCGAACCTGGGTCATCTCATTGGGAGGCAAACACTCAGTGGGAACGCAGTGATTCAGGGGATACCATGAGTCACTGGGGTTCTTTTTAAGAATTATGGAACAGTACATATTTTTTGCTAACTTATTTTGGAATAATTGCAAGTGGTTGATCCCTTTCGTGAAAATTATTGAAGGAACTCAAGCCTATAAAATTGATGCATATGTAGAGTTTAGCGGTCATATAGATTGATGATTACTATTCAGAATTAAAATTTAATTTCAAGTTGTAACAAGTTTCATTTTCTATTAAAAAAATTATTGTATATTTCTTTTAAATTTAATGAAAAAATAAATTTTTTTAAATGAAAAAAAGAGAAATTTTCTTTTTTTTCTTCTCTTTCTATAGGAAGTGGTGCCTCCTTGGTGGTGGTCATTTACGAATGTTGTCAACTTGTCCTGCGGGGATTGCTTGGGGACTGGGATATAACTGTACAGCTTGGGTTTACACAAAAGGTTATGGAGGAGGTCCTTATAGGGGTAAATGTTACTTGCTAAAAAATAATATTCACTATCAAAAAAACAGTCTAGTGAACATTCACATTTTTACTATTTTTGGTGAATCGTTCATATTAAAAGTAAAAGTCTTTCACAAGATTATAAAAAGTAAATGACAAAAACAAAATTTTTTTCACTTTTTAGAAAAACCATTAAAGAAATAAATATTTGATAATTATGCAATAAATACATATGTAGAGAAAAATTGTACTTAGTGTTAAGATAGGAAATTACTTTTCTTTTTGCCACTATGTTTTGCTAACAGCAACAAACTGTTTAAGTTGTTCTTCTGCTTTTCTCTTATTTAACTTTCCAGTTTACATGGACTGTTTTCTTTGAAATATGTCTTTTTTTTTTAATCTTAAAATTAACCTTGATTAAATTTTAAAATATCCTAAAATTTAACCAAGATTAATTTTTTGGTAGTTCTCTAGTTATATTATTATACTGTTTCCTTTAAATTATCATTAAATATCTTAAAATATATAATTACAAAATTTCGTTACTTATTTTTTTTTTAAATGTTAGCACTTTTTTTACTTTTTTGCAATAACAATATGTGTTTTGTAAATTTTGGTCTCATTTCACCACAGGCATGCCAGGTGCAAATGCTAGCACAGGTCCAATGTCAGATATCAGATGTTTGTATATCTATGAAAACCAAAGATGGAATCCATTATCAGGTTTCACTGCAAAAGGCCTTCCTACTGATCGTTATATGTGGAGTGATGAGACAGGAAGAATTGAATGCACCAAAGACAATACACATTTGCCATCTGGTCATTGGCAGTGGGTGCGTTTTCTTTTTTTAGAAAAATTCAGTTTAATCCAAACATCACTTTTATGAATCTATCCCTTCAGCTCATAATCTTGAGTATTTCAAGGAATAAAGACAACATAGTTTAATTTGCACTTCAAGTTAAAATCACAGTTCGAACTTTTTCCTTTTGAGTTCATTTTGTCTCTTATGTTGAGCAATCAATGAATATAATTTGTTATCAATCTCATAATTTATAGCACAACTCGAAAGACAAAAAACTTTTATGTTATGTTACAGAAAAACAAATTTTTTATGAACTTTTTTATCCTAAATTAACCTTTATACCTGTTATATCAAAAGAAAACTATGTAAACATCATAGAAATAAATTATTCTACCCAATGATTCATTTACCACATAGAGTAATGTGCCTATGATATTCTGAATGTTAATAATAAATATCTAGAGATAACTAAACAATCTTGTTTTTTTAATTAATTATTGTTCTCAATTGTTTCATTTGTTTCCCCTTTTTTGTAATAAAGTGCACTTGTTTACACTAGTCCAACACCACTTTATTTTCTTCTTGTTTATTTGTGGGGGAAAAATGGAAAGAGAATTTTCTTTCCTTTAAAAGAGCAAGGGAAAATTTCATCCATTCTAAATAAATTCTTTTTAAATTTATTATTAATACTCGTCTTATGATGTATAGTTGTTTTTGGCAGAAATTTATTACTGTTTTTTTTTGTATTTGAAATAACTATTACAATTTTGTATGAAATTTAGGTTTCAGTAATGGCAAAGTATATTTTAAAACTATCACAAGTTATATAAATGCTTCAAATATGAAACTGTACTTTATTATTCTTTAGATTCTGATTTATTTTTAATCTATTATTAGCACCAAAACAATATGTCATGCTTAATTTAATATGTTCTTATAAATTCTTTATAACACAGTTTATAATAATATTTTCAGAAATCAAAACACTCATGAAAGTCAATAAAATAATAAACACATAAAGTGTTTTTTTTTCTTTCAAATTCATATTTGTATAATATCATTTAATAAGCTGCTAGTAAAAACTTATAAATTTTTATACAAAATATTTTTGGCTGATTTATTTTGTTTGAACAAAGAATATTGTTGTTGATGTTGTTTAATTAAAAAGTTTAATCTTAAGTGCTTTACATTTACTGATCATGAAAAATCTTAATACTTACTAAATCTGAAACCAAACATTTAAATTTATTTTTGTTAGCTATACCATAAGACTCTGAGTAATTGATTAGTTACATTGGTTTTTATTTAAAACAGAAAAGCTACAAGTAAAATATACATTAAATATATAATCTTTAAAGGAAATGAATGAGATGCATTTTACTTTACTCTTACTTATGTTTAATGAATGTAAACAAGTGCTTTTAAATAGCAATTATTTTCTTGCAAATTTTTTCATAATTGTAATTAGTTTTAAAAAAACTAATATCTCACACCTGTTGTTTTAGATTATGATCTACTTTATTGAATATGTAATATTTTAGATTTCTGACTGGTGTGTTGATTATAAAACGCCTGGTGGTGTTGATAATGAAGGCTGGCAATACGCTACAGACTTTCCTAGAAGTTACCATGGGTATAAACGTTTTACAGATTATGTAAGACGAAGAAGATGGTATCGGTATGTAATTTAAAATGTTCTACTGTATCATTAATTTGCATATTTTTTTAATCCTCAAAATTATGAAAAAAATTAAAAATTATTCCATTAAGCTTTTAACAAAAATAATTTATGTAAAAATTTAACATTTTTCATGTATTTACAATTATATTTAGTAGTTATTTAAAGATTTGATGATATGTCCATGTAACTTTATAGAAAATAATGAAAGTTTGTTAATATGGTGGTACAATAAATAATTTATGATAGAGTGCTTTTAAATTTTTATCTTAATTTTTATAGTAACATTATTTGTTATATAGAGCTACAATAGCACAATAGTTTAGACATCGAGCTATTATTGTGTATACTTTGAAGTCAACCGAGCTTCTAATTGATTGGTACCAATTTCTTTGGGAAGTACAGGTGGCTTGCGCACACAATGCCACAACATGTTTATTGTCTCAAAATTATTGAGCTGGAACCTCCCACCACCTTGGCCATCATCTAGAGCACATTAGCCATTGCTACAATCCTTTAATTCAATTTATTAAATTAGACATTCATCAATTAAATTTGTATATAATGAAATCATTTTTCGTCAAAATATTGTATTAATGATGAAAATTCATTAATTTATTTCTTATTGTTAATAGGAAATGTAAACTTAGTACAACAGGTCCCTGGAGAAAATTAGGTAACACACCACTTTTGGATGTATCATTTCAAGTTGATTCAAATTCTGATACTGATCCTGTTGCTGTTTGGGCTGTTGCTGTTAATGGTGATGTCCTATTTAGAGTTGGTGTTTCACAAAATTCTCTCTCAGTAAGATTTTTAAAACATATATCTCCTATAAAAATAAATCTCTTAGACATATATCTTTATATCTCCTATCAGATTGCAAATTTAATTATCTGAATAATTTTAAATCTATTGTTTAATTTAGGTGGTAAGAAGTCTTAAATGCATCTAAAAGTAGTTCGGTACAATAAAAAAATATGATTTTAAAAATATTTTTCTTCTCATTAACAAATTCAAATACTGTACTGACCATTATCATCATAAATTAAAAATACCAATTACCCAGTTACTTTTTTTAACGTAAAAATAGGAGTAAATTGTTTTGTAATCATTTAAAATTCTATTACACTTCACTGTAATCATTAAAAAAATTAGAAATAATTTTGCTTACTATCTTGCAATTTTTAATCCAAATCAGGTCTTGTCCTGAATAATTTAATTAATCTAAATAATTGAAGTCATATTAATTTAGACTTTGTTTAAATAATTATAATGATAAATATGTTTAAAATTGTTATTAACATGCAGCATTCATTTCCGAAAGTTACATCAATGAATGGTCAAATATCAATTGAATCTATGTACAGAAATTCACAATTCTTTTTACATTACTTGTTGATAATTTTTTGTTTGAATTCTTAGGTAGTGATGGAATCTAAAAATGTGTTTTAATCTTGAACTTTCTTGTCTAAAACTACTTGTGATTAAGTATACATTAGGTTTTTTAAAAAAAGTTTTATTAACATAGGTTTAAAGTTATCACAACCAAAGAATCATCCATGTTATTTTAGGTTATTATCGCCTGCCATTTAATGATTACATTGATATTCATTTAGCAAGATTATTACAATCTTGTGTTGTGACATTATATTGAAACAAAAATTCTAATATATATATGGAGCATGCCTGCAAGGTTGTCAATTACTATGCTTTTTTCAAAATACAGTGAAACCACACGAAAAACCACCTCTATGTAACTATCTACTCAATTTATGCCCAATTTTAGGACACATGGAATTTTTTCCATAAATTTAAAGTTGATGAAAACCTCTAGGAGAGACCTTTAAAATATCTCCTAGCAACCAAGCAATCCTTCACACCAAATTCGAAAAAGGTTAATTAGTGAAACACGAAAAAGTATCAAAGCAAAAAATCTTGACAAAGCAAATAAATAGATTAAAATGTATTCAAAATATTTGGGTGAGGCTCTTTTAAAGAGCTCTTTTTGACGATCTCTGAAACAGATCTACTCCTTAATGTAGCAGTCAGAGTCAGAAGACGATGTTATCAATGATTTATTTTTAGAGTTGAAAGTTAAATTAGAAAAAAAAGTTCTTTTAGAAAAAACTAAGTATCTCAAAGAAACAAGCTTTAAATCTAACTAATTTTTATGATATTAAGTTAAATGCAAAATTGAATGAAAATTATTGTTTATTTATTTGAAATAGTTCCATCTTTCATAATTTGTTTTTACGCATAATATATCAGCAGAAATAATTTTTATTGACGCTAAAGTTTATAGTATATCGATCTGATTTTCATGACACTAACACAAGTGGCGTCATGAAAATGACCAAGAATACGGCACTGACTAAAATTCAAATTGTGTTGCTAAAAATCTTGTACCTTCAATAACCCTAAGGATGGCCAATTTCCATTAACGACCATTTTAATGTAGTACAGAGAGTAATCACTCCATAGAGATTTCACTGCATATTATAGAGAAGTAGGCAATTAAAACTAAATCTATCAGAATTTCAGGTAGATTTTGCCTTCATTTCTAAAGTTTCATCTTGAGTTAGCTGGAACAAAGTAGCATTTTATTTAAACTTTTGAATTAGGTACTGAAAAGTAGTAGTCTGGAAGATAATTTTAAATAAAATTAACAAAACAACAAATCATTCATTAAAATATAAGCATCTCAAAAAACGTAGAAAATTAGTAGTCCTTAATTTATAATTACTTGTAAACAAAAGTAAAATCTGCTTATTATTAATTTTTTTTTCATTACTATACTTTACTATACTTTGCACAACTTTAATGATTTTCAATCCTCATTAAGAGAAAGTGAAAAATAAGTCAATCTCTCTGTAACATTTGAACTGAAGAGTATTTTAAGTAGAGTTTAATAGATTTTACCCACAACAACCTTTAACTTTTACCTTTCTGGCAAATTTAAAAATTCATTAAATTATTTGTGTATCTTGTAGAAGAAAATGTGAGACTAACTTCATTGTGCGTTTAGTTTACCCTAAGCTCAAATATTTGTTGAATTTAAAAAATTAATTTTTTATTTATAGTCAAAGTGGTCTATGGTTGGTGTTTAGGAAGATTTTTTTACCTATGGCAATACCTGGCATTTTTTCATTATTGTATGAATAGTCATAGAAGTATGTGGTTTATTAGTATACATCTTAACATTGAATCCAATAAAAAGTTTCGGCTGCATTGCTTTAGTAAGAATGTTGCAATGCTTACCAAGGTAAGCGTTGGGACAGTTTTAAAATATATTTTAAGTAATCCAAAAGCAAGAAGTATTCAGAACAATCACAATGTCATAATACACTCTGATACAACTGAGCACTCAACTCTCTGAGTGTTAGTTCTGGCCTTTTCGGAACTTTTAGCTGAAAGCTGTCCTGCATCAAAAAACAGGTAATAAGAGTAGTGCCTAGCCGGTGAATTTCTGTAAAATTTTATCCTGGGGCTCAAGGCTTGGAGGGTTAAAGAAAAAGGGAAGCGGCACTGTTTTGAACATGGAACCGTTTTTTCTTTCCTGGTAGGGTATTCAAGCATTCTTATTCATGCTTTTATATGGTAGAAGCTTTCAAATTTTATACTTAGTTTTGGTGTTTATTCAGGAATATTAAATGTAACTTAATATTTGTATATTTTAAATTTAGTTATTTCACCCTTTTCTCTTTTTTTTTCATTAATATAAATATCACTCTATTGTTAATCTCTTAATTGATTTTATGCAGGGTACAAATTGGGTTCATGTTGCGTCAGAAAAACCATTTCGCTCAATATCTGTTGGTGGTGAAGGGGCAGTTTGGGGTATTGCTATTGATGGATCTGCACAGTTACGACATGGAGTTTCTGCTTCATCACCTACTGGTATAAATTTTTAAATAAAAAATTATATTTAAATTTGTTTTTTCTACATATAAATGCACATTGAGAATTTTCTATAACCCAGATTCTGTGTGTTTTAAATATTCAAAACTGTAAAACTGATGTTTGAAACAAGAATCCCTATTTCTCTGTTTTTATGTTAATAAATGATTCAGTGTTTATGTGAAATGTTTTAATAAATAAACTTTTATTTGTAATTGAAAATATCATGCAGAAATGTACAGATTATGTCTTATATTGTTAGTTTTTCATTGAAGCTAGAATTCACATGAAATATCTACTTGAAATAAAGATAAAATTGAGAAAAATTTGGTGAAACAGTCAAACCTTATACTGTGTGGATCATTATTAAAAATTATTAATTGAATATTTGTTTATTTTTATGTGTTTGAAAATGTTTAATCTGAACAATTCTAATTGTTTTTCTTACAAAATTAATGAAATAAATTTTTTGTAATTAAAAAATTGGCATTGAAAATATGAACTGTTTCAACAATGAAAGGTAGCAGTTGAATATGTATTTCATTTGAAAGCTAAAGCAGTTTGGCAAATGTTCTATTAGCTTTAGTTCTCAGAACTGACCTAGTATTGCTGTAAAAAAAAAATTCTTTTTGTACAAGTCGAATTTTATTTATATACGTCACACATCATTTCTGTAAAAACTGTACATGTAAATAAGAAAAAAAAGTAAATATGCATATGATTAGTTCATGAAATTTTAATTTTTGACAGGGCAGTATTGGTGTCACATAGAGCCACCTCAAGTTGGTTGTCCTCTTCTCCAAATCTCAGCTGGTAAAGAGAAAGTATTGGCTGTCGATGAAAGTAATAGGTTGTGGTCACGTCAAGAAATAGTTCCTGTTTATAAAGAAGGCACCCACTGGAAATTGGTGTCTGAAGATGTAAAACAAGTCTCTGTTGGACCTATGGATCAAGTAAATATTGTCCATTAATTTTGCATTTTAATAATAATTACCAAAACAATAACCGAAAAAAGTAAATGTAACAGCTAATTGTTATTATTATTATTCATAATGTTGTCCTAAATTTGTAAATACCTGGGCACAATGACTTTTGGAAAGATTTTGATCTGAACTATCTATTCAGTACAAAAAACTACCCTCTAGTAAAGAGAAATGTATTTTTAGGTAATTATCTATTTTACAGATCCTTATACAATTTTTTGGATGCATCAAACAGTATGCACTTAGCCTAATAGTAATAGACTCAACCACTTGGGAACGTTACAATATGAATTTTGTTAAACATGTGTAAGAATCATGCCGCTGTTTATTCAGAAAAATTTTACATTTGTAATACCTTTTACTTTTGATACACATATTTTATGAAATATTTATTAACAGCAATTGCTTAAGGATTCTTAGTAATATGTCTTATATTTGCAGCATTTTATTGTCCCGTAGAAATAGATTGTCATTGACAAATCTCTTAAACAATTTATCTATATGTGTTGAAATATATTTATATATTATTCCAGATATGGTGTATAAAAAGTAGTTTCCTGACACCTGCAGGAATGATATCTGGCGTAGTTTGCAGAAGAAAGGGTATTACAGACGATAATCCATGTGGTTCAGAATGGGAACAAGGGATAGGGGTGAGTACACATTGAATACATGTAATATTTCCTAATTTTAGTTTTGTTATGAGTGGGAGTTAATACTAAATATGTAATTGTGCATAGAGTGGTCACAAATACCAAAATTTTTTAACAATAAAAAGCAGCAAACATTTATCCTAGGCTGTTGCCTTTACCATTTTGTTATAAATTATAAGAGATAGTTTGAAAAATTGAAGCTTGTAAACAAATTGAAAAATTTACTCAAATTTAATATTTTAGCTTCTACTAATTCATTCACCAATATAATATATGTTTTTGAAAAGAAAAATCTATTAGATTTTTAATAAATATAATATACCTTAAATCATATATTTTTCTATAATATAGCCTTAACCTTTTGATTGTAAAAATTCTAATTGTGTATTATCATGCATTCTGATTGAGATTTTAGCAGTAATCCAATGTTTTGGTTTATGAAAAATGTGTTTTTTTTTGTTGTTTTTTTTAAGAAATAGCTTGCACTTTTTTTAAAAAAAAAATACAATACTCTATCATCAATGTGATTTTCTACAATTTACAAAACTGATTATCAAAAATCACATTGATGATAATATTTAATTAATGATAGTCAAAAAATTTCTTTCAATGTGAACAACTTAGAAATTAGTAAAATTGAAGAAAAAAAATTAAATTATTTTGAATTAATCATAGGCTTATTTGTTAAAAAGAAGTTAGTTAACATTTCTTTTTTATTGTGTAATTTTAAAATTAGGAGATTCTAGTTCTCCGTGTAATTAATTAATTTAAAAGTACAGAAAATTGTCTACACCTTTTAACATTTTTCTTCTTTAATGTATTTTCTTATTTATCTACTTTTTTAAGTTGCTAGAGATGAAAAAAATATATTTTTTTCTATATTAATATCTAAGTTTTCAACTACCATTATTCTGATATCTTTCTTGAAATACTCTGACCATCTTTTAGTTTCGAGCAAGATGAGGCAAAGTTGATGAGTTTGAAGGAAACAGATTGTGAGAGCCTTTGCCTAAACTAAACTGTAGTAGTGATGAAGAATATCTTAGTTTTTTAATAAACTTGAAAATTTTTATTAACTATTCTGAAAAATTGAAAATACATAGTATGACCAATTAAAATGATTTTGCTCATACATTAAATTTCCCATTTTGTAGTTGTCATTTCTTTATTATTATTCTTTGTCAGCGCAACAGCCCCTTGCAGGCCTTGGCTGCTTCAACAGATGACAAACGACAGCTCCTCCTATACATGGCAACTCACTTCCAATATCTAATCTTTAGGGTTTTCAGGTCATTTTCGATATCATTGAGCCATCTATTAGGGAGTTTACCTCTGGAACGTGACCCTTGGGGTTCTTAAAGGTGACTATTCCCATGGGGCTATTTTCAAGGCTTCTTCATAGATGGCCCAGCCATCTCAGTCCATTGCTGCATATTATTTGTGTAATTTGGGGCTGCTTATAGAGTTAGTAGAGCTTGAAGTTATATCCGGTTCACCAGCATCCCCTTTCTTCAATTGCGCCGAAGGTGGCTGTGAGGATCTTTCTTTCGAAGGTGTCCAGTGATTGCTGTATATCTGAATTTAGAGTCCAAGTTTTCCTTCTATAAAGCAGTACAGGAAGGATGAGCATCTTATACAGTTTTAATTTTGTTTTTCGGCTGAGAAGATTTGATCTTAATTGTCTCCTCAGTCCAAAGAAACACTCATTAGCCATTTTGATCATTAACAACAGTGCCATTTCTTTATAATGACTGATTAAGTACAGTTTTTATGCAACATTGTTTTTAAATTTTAAAAATTGAGTTTTGCTTCCTTAAATTTTATATTATTTATTATTTATCAAATGTTAAGTTAATTTTTTTTGGAAGTTATTGAAATTAAAAGCTCCACAAATATTGATTAGTTAAAATTTCTTTCAACGTTTAACTAGTTATTTATGATTTTATTTTCTCAGTTTTAAATATTTATTAATTTTCTTTAACTGACCATAATTTTGTGTTAGATATTTATTTAATCTATTTGTTTTTTTTTTCTTTTATAGGGCTCCTGGACGTTTATTACTGTCCGTGGAAGCTTGTGTAGAGAAAATTAAAATTTCTCACTCTAGAATTTTTATTAAAATTATTTGTTAATTTTACGTTTTATGAAAATGTTGTAAATATTGAGTTTTAGTTTAATTGATTTTACCATTTTAAAAAATTACAGACTATTTAGATAATTTTATTATTTTTAAAATTGATTTCGCCTTTCATCTATGGCAGCTTAATTATAAGTTTGATTATTTTTATATTGATTTTTTATATGTCTATTGTAGAATTTTATCAACCAAATGTAATTAAATTCTAGGTTTGTCTGTTTTATTTTTAAATCTATGAATTATTTTAATCGGTCCAAAAAAATTAAGATATATACCTAAGAAAAATAATCATTCAATTTTCTTATACTTTAATGCATATAATTATACAATTATATATTTTTTAGAATCTTTAAAATTATGTCTATTTTAATGCTTATTTTAAAAATGTGCTTAATTTTAATCTATGTTTTTATGTAGATTGCTAATTAAATTTTTAGATTTCATCTTTTAGTTTATTTTAATATTAAAAAAGAAAATGTTAGAATTTTTTTTAATTTTAATTTATGTACTTAAGTTTTTATTTAAGTATATTTTTTTAATTTGTAGATTTGTGTAAATAATTTTTTTGAGGCAAACTTGGAAGATTCAATTATACCATTAAATAAGTTTAATCTGTCATGTATAATGTTGCTGTTTATTACTAAAAGAAACTATATGGTATTTTGAGAAAACTAAATAATAATATTAATTCTTAATGATACATCAAAAATATGTTTAATTGAAAATGCTATATTTCTAATATATTAATGTTTCTATGAGTATAGCTGTTAACATGTCAGAATTGGAAATATTATGTGTCTCATATTTAAAAAAAATTAAATTTTGTACATCATTGTGGTCTCAATGTATTTTCAAACCTATTGTAAATAAAAAGAAATTGTATTTGTAATTGACCTATATTTGTAATTCATGTTAAAAGCACCCTTTCAAGCAGCTTTATTTCTTTACTTCCCAGTTGAGCATAAGGATTAAAGTGATGTGTTCCAACAAATCTAGATTATGGATTAGAATTTCTCAGTTGTTTTAATAACCATATAGTTTTGATAGTTTTTTTTTTCTAATTTCACATTCATGTAAATTATTTCCACTCAAACCATTCTTCACAATTATATACATATATATTTCTCCTTTGGGTTCAAAATTACAAGACAAATTTGGTCTGCTTAATTAGTTGTGATCCCAATGGTTATTGTTATTTATGATGCTGATGTGGTTAAATGTTTCAGAAAATAACAAAATGTATAACTAAATATTTTTTTATACATTTCAAAGAAGGTACTGAAATTGTGAGCCTTAGCTACTTTCCTTCCCATGCTATGTCCTTACAAACTCCCTTTATAACATTTACGGTTTAATTTACAGATCGAGAAATCTCCAATTGTGTTGCTTTGCACTTGTTTATATGATTAGACATGCTCCATTTGTGTTGCTGTATTGTTTAAATTAAGAGATCAAGTACATTTTTCTTGATATTGTATAATGTTTTTTGTATGATTTAATCATTGATCATCATTCCTGATGCAGACTTGGGATTTTTCAGTGTTTTTACTGAATTTAGTGATTCTTGTTGGGTGTTTTCTGTAGTTTTATATGCTAATTCATCAAATCTTAAAAAATATGCTAGTAAATTTGCAACACCATGTTATTCCAGTACTTTTTTTATTCTAATTGGGTCACAAGTCTGAATTTACAAAAAAAAAAAATAAATAGTAATAATTATTTAATAATTTTCATACTTTCTATTACTTGTAATTTATTTTAAACTAAAACTTAAAATTATCGATATTTTTATGTAATAGAATCGCTAATACTATAATAGTTGTTTTAAAATAAGATAAAGTTTTTAAAATAATTATACATTCAGTTAGGAACAAAAAGCATGTGAGTAATTATAGATTGGATCATTTATTGTAAGCAAATGCTTTCAATTCTTAATATATTTCCCAAGTTAAAAGTATTTCAATTAATACCTAAGTACTTACACTTACCTTAATACTTACCTTAATACTTACATTAAAATTGAAATAAATTAACTAGAAAGTGTATACTTAAAAAGATGTGGTGGAGTAGTTACTATCTTTGTACCCATTACCATCAGAGAGAGATTTCCTTCAACTCACTTTATATTAACTGACATATTGTAATATAGTCATTGTTAATTCTTGCTAAATATTATCAATTCTATACTTAATGTTGAATTCTTAATTCTCTTTTTAGAGATTAAAGATTTCCAACTATAAAATCTTATTCATTGTTATGTAAATTTTTAAATATTATACACAAGAAATCTAGTATTCTTTTGAAAGTTGTTAAAATGTATAATTATGTTGTTCTCATTCATGAAATTTTCCTTGCATGCACATTGTTACATTATGTGTATGTAATATCATACAGAACAAATATTTTTATAATTTAGCAACTTTTAATCTATATTAAATCTACTTTTGTACATGATGTTGATTGCTAGTCATAATTTCAAACTTTTTATTTACCCCCAAAATGAGCTTTATTTTTTTTAATGAAATTATTTTTAAAGTGTATTAAATGTCTGTAAAAAGTGTATTTCTTAGCATAATTGTATGTTTAACATAAATTGTTTGTTGTTTTATATTTTTGGTTTTAAATTAAATGAAGATTTGTTAGAATAATAAAACTTAATTTATAATAGAAATGGGGAATTAAAACTGGTTAAAACAGCATAATATTTTTTAAAACTTTGTAAAATGCAAAGCAGAAAAATAACGCGACACCATTTAATGTATTGGAAGACCGAGCTTCCAATTATCTAACTGTTAGGAATGTCATATAAAAATAAAAGATGAATGGTTGGAGAACGAATGTTGAAAAAATGTTCCAACTCAAAGGAAAAAGAGCAAAAACGAATCATAAACAAAAAATCAACTAAGATCAGAAAAAAATGGAAGCAGAAAAGGAAAAATGAGAAAACGAATTAAAATTTTTCAAGCAGTAGATAAAATTGTGAATCGGTGTTTTAATTTGAAGAAAGCCTACTAAAAGTTTTTTTTAAAAGAATTAAAATGGAGTTTTGTTGCTTTTATATCAAAATTGTTCATTTTGTTAGTATAAACTCACTACACTTTTGCATTTCTATTTCAATCAGTAACTTCATTTAAAGCAGGCTTACAAATACTTATCCAAAGCGTGCAGCTTTTGATTTTCTGTTGCTCATATTCTCTTCAATAAAAAAATTTGCTTTAGTAATTTATATAGCAATGTTTCCATTACAATTATTCCAATCTTGATAAAAAGTTCTCACTGTTACAAAAATTTATCAGTGTCTAATGCAGCTCTTATTTACATTCCAATTTTTCTTTTTTTAAATAGATTGTTTTTCAATTTGTATTTTGTGCTCTAAATGTAAATAAAATATTTGTATGAAATTGCTATTAAGTGTGTGGTTTTGTGTGGTAATTCTTGTTTGAAATATGTAAAATGTGTGCAGAAAAGATGCAGCTTAAAACTTCAGGAACATGTTTTCTAAAATATATATATGTATATATATNACTGTAATAAAAATTATTAATTAAAAGAATAATTTTAGATAAAATACAAATTAAAAATATTTTTTAAGAACATAATCATTAATTTCCTTCTAGGTTGTATGTTATTCTGTTTTTTTATTTTATTAATATTTAAGAATCATTTCTTACTAGCAGCCAATTTCATAACTTTATATTGTTTACCTTATTAATTATCAGATAATTTACCTTGCATACCTTATTTCATAATCAGAACTTAAAATTTTATCAATATGTCACTCATTTTGGTTGTAACTAATCATTCAAGATAAGTTATCTTAATGACCCCTCTTTAAACCATTTTTAAAAATTTGTAGTTATTAAATTGTTATTTGCAAATCACTTGAAAAAAACTGCACTAAGAATTCTCTTAAAATATTTGAAACTATCTTCATTATACAAGATTTGATATCATGTAATATAAATAGTTAATAAGTATATTCCCCTCATAAAATTTCATCTTAAGAAAATTTAAATTTTTTCTTTTTACAGGGTGCGTAGCCAAATCTTTGAATCAAAAATAAGCACTTTTTAAAAACTTTTCTAGCACTTTACAAAAATTTTCAAGCAGTCAAAAAATTCCTATTCAATCAGTGATATCATTGAAAAACAAAAACTTTTTATAAACAGTTTTAGCGTTAAAAAACCCCCAAAAAGAAACGGACGTAAATCAAAACAATCATTACTTTCCCACATCATCGAGTGAATTCAACTTGACCCTGAACTGAGAACAAAAGTACCCGTACCCCCTACGTCAGAAAAGTGCTAGAAGTAAAATAAAATAAATTAAAAAGAAAAACATTTCATAAGGATCTGATATTCTCCATCCGAATTGGAGCACTAGGGTTTCGGTTTCAAGTGTTCGTGAAAGCGCAAGTCATAACGTGGGTACGACATGAAGTCCGCGTGAATGATTACGTAGCAAACACCCCATTTTTCGTGAAATGACCTTTAAAAACGAAATCCCCAAAAAAGCACCTTTAAGTACTTTTTACAAACGCTACGCACCCTGTTAAATTGTTATTTGCAAATCACTTGAAAAAAGCTGCACTAAGAATTCTCTTAAAATATTTGAAACTATCTTTATTATACAAGATTTGATATCATGTAATATAAATAGTTAATAATTATATTCCCCTCATAAAATTTCATCTTAAGAAAATTTAAATTTTTTCTTTTTATGATATTATTTAAGTTTTCTGAATATTCTAAAGCAAGAAATCAATCACTTTTGTATATTTTACGAATGAACCAAAAACGATATTATGCAATCTTGAAAAATTAATTTTTTCTAAACTAATATTGGGTTTTCAGAATTTTTTTAATAAGATTTAAAATAAATGCCTCAGTTTACCCATTTTATTATTTCAAGATTTATAAGTTAAGACTGGAATATTTAAATTTTTACATCTCCTGAAAAATCTCTGTAAAGATTAGGATTATAAAGACATCCTTTTTATCTAAACTGTCCAATTTTCTATTATCTGCAAGATAAATAATGGTGCAATTACAGAATCCTTAAAAATTTGGCTATTCAAATTTTTTTGATTAATTACACCTCGTTTTATAATCATTTTTCAATGGAATGGAAAAAACTTGTGGTTGAGTTCCCCCCCTTAAAGATAAAACAGTGAAAATTAACTAAATATCAGGTAGCTGGAATTTCTAATTCAGTTAACTAGAACTATGAAAGAAAAAACCACTAATAAATACTTTCAAACTTCTTTCGGGGGAATAAAAATATCTGCCACTACCTAGACTACTATGAAGCTTTGCATACAAATATATTCACACACAAAATCTATTGTATCCATTTTTAAAAGTAAAATTAATGAAATCACTAACTTTTTGTCAATCCTAACCCTTTTCACTTCCAAAATGCTATTTCGACTATCGAATACACTAAATCATTTTAATTATGAAACTTATTTTACCTAATAACTACAATGTTTCAATACATATTAAGATATGAACATTAATTTCAGAGTGGTGACTTTTGATGTCTCATTAGAGGACATCCAAGTGCAAAAGGTGAACTACTATGCCATCTATTTTTTTTTTTTTTCAGGCAAAGAACAATCCTGTAAATACATTATAGCTGTCAATAAGTCTTTGTATTTAAGGATATTTTTACTCAGTCGAAAACAAGATAAACTTCAAATAATTTTACTACCAGTGTTTTTTTTCCTTCCCCTTTTCAAAGTAGCTAAAGCAGATTGTGATAAAACAATAATCCTAATTTACTTCAACTTAAGGTTTATTACTTTAATTTACCTTTCCCTAAATCACTTAACTACTGATACCATATGATGCTAGCCATTATTTGCTAGATCCTGGTGAGTAAATACGTATACTCCCTATTCTAGTTTTTGAAAATTTTAATTAGGAACCCTTTGTTTTGCTAATACTTGTTGAATCTGCAAATTTTTTACTAAACATGGGTAATAGACATTTTTGCGGGAGAAAAGGAAAAAATGCTCACCAGTAACTCTAATCTGAGACTAATTAAAAATCCTTAAACTGAAAGAGAAAAGTATTTTTTAAAATTTGATTTTGAAATGAAATTCATGTTTATGTCGTAATTTTTGTACCAATATTTTTTTAAATTTTTTTACTAGATTTTAAATTTTGGTGCTACTTTTTAAATGCTACATAAAATCTTACATTTACAAAAAGATCAACTAAAAATTAAGAAACATTTATTAAATATGAAGCTCGTAAAAACCTTGCACGTTAAATCTCTTGACTTTCACAAGATAGTATTTTACATAACATAATTTCCCATTATGTAAAAATACCCAGTGAAGGCTTTAACAATGAGAGTGAATATTTCTATGATATTTCAAAATTCTATCGCAATATTTTTATAAATTTACTTCAATTTAAACAAAATTTCGCCATCTTTGCAGTTTTAATTAATTCTTATAAATTCTCCTTTAAGGATAAATTTCAAAATGCAGAAGAAACAATAGATTACATGTGAATTTAAGATAAGTAGACTATACAAAAAACAAAGATACAATACAAAAACATTTTATTATTATAAAAATACAATAGAAAATTTCTTTAAAATATTGAAACATTTAACACTAACTATACATGTTCACTTTTATGTTTAAGAAGTTTTATCTTCTGCTTCATGACCCTTAGCAACATTTTCTTGATTCATTTCCTCCTTGAAAAGAAACAAAAATAAAGTTTAGCGCATGAAAAGTTTTTAATGTCTTTTTAGAAAAAGGAACTTCACAATACTTTAACCGAAAAAAAAAAGAGACAAATTTTAAAAAAACTACTAACTTTTCCTATTGCAATTTTTAACTGCAAATTTTATATATATATATATTAATTTGCTTTTAACATAAAAGTGATAACCTTGCAAATATGTTTGGAGTTAGACCTATCACAAGATTCAAAATTTTATTATGGCCAACTTAAATATCAACCTCAAATTTAATTCTGTTAAAAAATAAAAATGGTATAGCATTGGCATTATGATTTTAGACATATAGTTAAGTTTTACATTTCTTTAATGAAAAATATTAAAACAATTTCAAAAACGGTATGAAAGCTTTAAATTTAAAAATTTTTAAAACAAGTTTATTATTGGCTTGGAGTTATCTAAGTTCAGTAAACATCATTCAGAGAATATAAAAACAAAAAATTTAAAACTGAAAAAAAATACAAATTCATTGAAGATAATGAATTTTTCTTAAAAAGATTTAAATAAAATTACTTATTAAATTCTTTCAAATTTACCATTTCAATTTCTTGGGATTTCAAACTTTGAATAACTTCTTCCAATGAAGCAACTTTTTGTCGAACTGTTTGTAACAAATTTATTGTTATTTCACCAGCATTAGTAGCCTGTAAAAAATATAAAGTAAAATAGTTAAAAAAAAAAACAGATTTTTAGCATGAAAAAAAAAAAGACCTCACATTAACAAATATTTTTCTTAATTTCAACTCAACTCCTGTTAAATTTTAAGGTAAATTTAAAACTTACAATTATAAAAAAATAATTTGGAAAAAAAAAGCTATAATAAACACCTATATTTAATCAATTTCAATAAATAAACTAAATGCTTAACAGAGACACTTTTACAGATGTTTGGATTATATTCAAATGTTTGATAGAAAATAAAATTCTCTAATGTCCTAAGGATTATCCAGATAATGATTCAATCTCTTTCTATTATAACTGGAATTATATTTAAACAGCACATTTGAAATATTAGATTCCAATAGAAAAACACTTCGATAGCAGTAATTTACAAAAAAATTTTCAAGCACTTTAAGTAATTAAAACAAGTTTGTCAACCACAAAGTGAAAAAAAGTAAAAATTGAGAGAAACATTTTTCAGTAGATTTTAAAATAGTTAGATTAATAAACACATTTTTGAAGATTTAAATCGGAACATTTGCTGAAAACAAAAAGATTACTGATGTTAATGTAAAAACTATACCTGATCAAGTTGGGTGAAAAGTTCCGTGGCATATCTTTGAGCAGTTTGAACACCATCCTGATAGGTTGAGGGAAGGGAAGCTAGAGGTAAAGTTGATGTAGTGTAAACATGTACAAGAACTGAAGTTGTTCTACGGGCCAGAGAAAGTGCTCTTTGTTCAAGACTCTGAAACAATGCATTCATTACTTACATTCTATAAAATTTCTTTAAAACTAATACGTTCAGTGAAAGAAAAAAAAACTAATTTAAACAAAAACTCTAGCTTTATATAATCAGATATTTTCTATCTTTCATTCCACTAGACACATAGGAAACTCATTTCTAGAGAAATTTCTCTATTGGGCCCAAAAAAATCTAATTAAGTTTAACGAATTCATAACCTTCCTGTGCAAATATTTGTTTTTTAAACACTATTTTTCCCAAAATCATGGCATGACAAATGTTATCAATTAAACATTTTGATGGCAAAAGAGCCCGATAGGACTATTGGGCAAGTTTGTGTTCTAGTTTCGTATTCTGCGATTTTTTTTCCTTCCCTATTAATTTTAACAATGAAAATATTTTATCTTAACATTGAAACAGCTATTTGCAATTACACTTAATTTGCGGATAATATGTTTTATAGTACGATTTTTTTTTTTTTAAATATTGACTTTATATTATATACCATTTAAAGTCTGCCATCTTTTGGAAATTATAGTTTGTTAAAGGGGCTCTCTATAATTTTTGCAAAAATAACTATGAGAAATAAAATTTTAAAGTATTAATTGAGTTTAACTGATAGAAATTTCTAGTTAATTCCATAAAATCTTCAATAATTCACCAATAAATCTTCAAATAATTTTAATTAGATTTAAACCTTAATAGTTAGCATTCAAGTTTTAACCTTTCAATCCCATTTGGACAGGTATATTCCACAGATATTTTCAAAACGCTCATGAGCTAAATAAGCCTGAATTTTTTACAAACACATGTTTCACTGGTTTTCTGTGGTAATACAATAACATTTCAGTCCAATTGTTTACTTCTAATTGGCAGAATATTGTCATTTTCCCCTTATTTGATCTATTAAAGTCAGTAATTTAATTTGAACAGAAAACTAGTCTTGAAAGGGTTACGATGGTAGGTTTCATGAAAATGAGGAAAATAGTTTAAAGCAAGCACACATTTTGCAAGAGTCAATGCTTAAGAATATGGAAATTTATAAGGGAAAAATTTCAATTATGAGTGAATTAATTGAAATTACCTTTTCAGCTTCGTCAGATGCAGATGGTTCTTTGTTCAGTTCATCCCAAACCCAAGTTGCTTTCAATTTGGCTTCATCAACAACTTCCTGTACAGATTTATTGGCCACATTTTGTTTTAGCTGATTAACCTGATCAGTAGATTAAACAAGGTTTAAAATTCCAAAATTAAAATACGTAAATTAGAATTTGTCAATTGATACAGAATATCAAAGTGAAAATTTTTAAATTTGAGCAATTGTGCACAACTTGCTGAGAGGAACAATCTAATTATCTATAAACTAATCTATCATTCTAAATGTTACTGAATTTTAAACTAAAGCTTAGCTAGGTATTAGTATAAGCATAGCTAGGTATTAGTATAAGTATAGCTAAGTATTTTAGTAAGAAACTATTCCAGCAATTTAAAACATAACAAAAGCAATGAAAAAAAATTCTCTTATTATTAGAATGTTATCCCCAAAAATATGTTATTTCAAAAATACATAAATTGCATAAATGTTTTGTTTTTGAGAAATACTATCCGAAATTGCTAAGACTACGTCCATAATTCAAAGCTTTTAAAACAATAGTTGACCAAATATTTAAAAAAAAACTTTGCTACATGTCTTAGTTATTATGACACATTAAGCATTTTATTTTATAACCCTCGTTGATCAGCAGACCCAATTTTGAGTTTACAGCTACCAATGTTCAACTCCGCAGCCTCGTAATTTTGAACCAAATCCAGAAAACAAGGAAACTCCTGGATCAGTACCCCCAGAGGTATTCGTGATATAAACTTTGAGGACTTTGTGACCCAGATAGATTTAACGTGCACCACCATTTAATACACTGGGATTCTTCAGCTGGCTGGATGCGAACTCCCATCCTCTCGAACAATAGTTCAATGCCCTACTGACCAGGCAATTCCAGCAATTACCACTTAAGAACGAAATACAATTATATTATTAGTTTTTTAGCAGGTGCAAGTCCTTTTGCTGCCCACAAAGACACTCATGCATATTAAATTTTGTTACATCTAATAACTTAATTTTCTAGAAAGTATATTTAGTATTCTAGTCATCTTGTTCGTAATTCTTCACATATACAATCAACTCATTTCTTTTTGAATAACTTCTTTTACTATTAGTAAAATATTGCAAATTTATGTTATAACCTACTTTGAAATGTTATTAACTCTCCATGTTAGTTTTCAGACGAATCTAAGAGATTTTGTTCTAATAGTCTAACTCATGGTTGAAATTAGTATATAGCACACACTTTAGAATCAATATTTTAATTATAACTATTAAGAATTTTTTCATTTCACAGGAATGATTAATATTACTATAACACCCAAATTGAACATGCCAACTTTTTCTGAATCTGAAAGATTTAAATTGAAGTTTCGAGCTCCTATGTTTAGACATATGTTTAATTTATCAAAAGTAATACGAAACTTTAACCATAATAACCATTAATTTATCACAATACTTCTACATATTTTAAGCTGTATTTGAAAAAAAAATATGCAGTCAATTTTCATCTGTTTCTATAACAGATTTCTACCAATATGGTATTGTAATCAATTCATATCATGACTTGCATAGTTTCTTTTCAATGCAAATTCTGAAAACTAACAACTCCATGCCAAATATGGAATAAGAGCCTTCTAAATAATCAAGATATTTAATGAATTAAATTTTCTTTACGAAAAAATATATAAAAACATATTTAACTTACAAGTTCAAGAATGTAAGACAGTTTTGAAGCATATTCCTCTGAAACACGATGGACAACCATAACACGCTCCACACCATGACCATACAAACGTAATCCAATTTTGCTGGTTAGTTTAGAAGCCCGATCATACATAGAGGAACTTTGAGTTGAAGCTTCAGGAGATCCTAAAAAATTAAAAAAATGTTTTAGAACTTCAAACATCAAATATTACAGAGACAAAAATTAAATTTTTAGTACAAGAGCCAAATTTACTCATAAAGGTAAATTTAAATGACATACAAGAGAAATTGAGAGTTTTGTAAAGAATAAAAAGAAATGCCAATTAAACCCAATGGCAGTTTAGCAAATGGGCAAAAATCTGGAGGATGTTTTCACATTATGGACTACTTCCTTATTCAATAACAAGGCAAAACCAATTTGATTATAGAGAAAAATGCAGGTTAAAATAAGATTTTTATGTACAGGACTGTGGATAATTTGCAAAGAAAAATCTAAATCCATATTTTAAATTCATGCAAAAGCAAAGTTATTCTAAGTTAAGAAGATAATTTTTTTTTAATATAGAGAACAGTTAAAACGTAATGATAAATTTAAAAAATCGTAATCTGAAAACCATTAATAGTTTTGCTAAAATTATTTCCTGTTAAAAATTTGATTTCGTAATAAATTAAAAAATTTCTAAAGGATTATAAACCTTAGTCAATGCTACAATGAATTTTTAGAAGCTCAAATCCTTTTTTGCAGGACCCGGAATAAACTAACAGCACAATATTGCATTTAATTTCGAAACTAGAGTAGTTTATAACTGAGTTAACTTGTTTCAAATTAGTTTAAACTGTAATTAAAAAATATTTAAGACTAACCTTCACCAAAAGCTGGAGGTAAATAGGCATCAACCAAGTTTTCAGTTTGGTTCAAAACTTTAGAAGCAGTTTCTACACCATAGCTTTTAACATTATTTAAAGTTTCAGTGCCATAGGTTTTTATATCATCCACTTTTTGATTAGCAAAGTCAAGAGTAGAAGAAGTTATTTTCCTTGTTTCTTCAACAAGTTGTTCTGGAGGCATCGTAAGAAATGGAACTTTTTCTTCCATGGCAACTAAACCTTTGCAAGCAAGTTGATCAATGACTTTAGCTAAAATAAATTAAAGAAAACTTGTATAAAGATAAAATTATAACAGTAATCCTGAAATATTTTAATTACAGATATCAATCACTACAAAATACTCTTGTTTTAACGATTGAGATTTCGGACATCTTCAAACTTTTTAAAGTAAAAGAAAGAAAAAAATACTATGGGCATAGCAGTTTTGCAATACACACAAAGTATCAAAACAACCCTGGGCATATAATTTTTGAAGGAGACAAATACATTACTCCTCTAAATTTCTCATTTAAAAAAAAAAAAAAATGAAATTTTATACAAGTAGACTTTTGTACTACTAACATATGTGTAACATCTTTAGGTTGTTGATAAAATTAAAGCTGTCTGTTAGTGAGATCTTAATAACTTTTTAGTCTGAGACCAAATAAAATAGACAACATGACTTCAAGACTTATTAAATTTAGTTTCTAAATAAAAATGTTTTGTACAAATAAGGCTTAAGAAAGATGAATAAGTACAACATAAAATATTAATATATATATAATTTTTTAAGTTTATTTTATCATAATGCCCTATCAACTTACACTCTGGAAAGAAAATTTTAAATAAAACAAAATAGAAAACTTTATATGCAAATTTGTTAATAAATTTTTATTCTTTAAGTTAATGAGTGGAACTTTAAAGTGTTTAAAATTACTATTAAAATAATTGAAATGTATTTTGACATTTAACACATTATAATGCCAGTTACTATAATTTTAAAAGAAATTTCACACCAAAAGAACTGCATTCTGGAAAATTATTAGGCTCTGAGAATTCTTTCTTTACACCAGACTTGTTCTAGGATTTAGTCAAAACAAATTAAATCTTTAACATGATTTTTTCTCAACTTGTCTAAAATATTAGAAGGACTTAGTCATTTTAAACGTAGAGAAACACTATCCCAAACAATAAATTTAGTTACATATTTCATTATGTGACACTTTAAGGAAAATATACTGTAATTATAACTGAATCATTTATTCATATTAAGAACCAGGAATTGTAAAAATTCTAGATCAAGGTCTTAAGCTCTCTTCAACAAATTTTAAAAACAAATTACAATCACAATTTCAATATAACAACTCAATCGCCCTGGCCAAAAACAAACATATTGTAGGATGCATGAAAGTTTTAATATTTACCTACTCCTAACTGAAAATGCTAGATTAATTTTTTTTTTCTTTGATGTTTAAATACATAAAAACAGTTTTAAAAAATGGCTAAATGGGGAAGATTTCCGCAACATGATCTGCGGAACAGCTACCAAGTCCGTGAGAAACTAAAGAAATATCTCAGAAAAACAGACTAAGGGTATAAACTTGTAGCCACCTCAGAGTAAACACCACTACATTTTTTACTTTTTTCAATTTTAATTAAACTTGGCACCTGTTAATATCTTTTGTCAAGAAATTCAAAAAATGGACAAGGGAGTTTTGCTTTTGTTTAGACTCTTATTAAAATGTGCAACCATACAATTCAATTAAGTTCAACAATTTAGGAAAATAGTTACAGCATTTTAGGAAATTAAAGATAATTAATGCAAAAAAAGAGATATCAACCTATAAAATCTAATAAAAAAGAAATATTTATAAAAATAGATAATTTTCAAAATTTGTGACACCAATAAAGAAAAAGGTTTGCGATTAAAAAAATAAATAAGTTTAATTTAAATATATTTTGAATATTTAATACTTAAAAAAAATTAGTTTATGATTAAATTCTATATTATTTAATTTTCCTGTAAGTTATATCAGTCATCAATTTAGAAAAAATTTTAAATATCCAGTAAAATTAAATGTTTTAAAAACAAAATTTATTTTTCACTGAAAATTTTTTTTTTTTTAATATTCCTACATTTTATGTTCATAAGTTTAAAAAGAGGTTTTGTATTATAAAGAGAAAAAAATTTATAAAAGAATTAGAAAAAATTTTATATATAACTAAACATTCAGTTACTTAAAGAACTTTAGTAAAATAAAATAAAGTTCACAGTGAGAAAAATAGATATAAAAAATTGTACCAAAGAATTTGAAACATTAAAAGATTAATAAATAAAATCTAACATGCAATAAAATAAAAATTCTATTCTTTGATTTCTTATAATTTTGGATTAACATTAATACAACTAAGCACTTACTCTCGGAAGTTTATTTATACAAATCAAACAATTTAGATCTATAAAGTTTTAGATCTTCAAGTTATTACATAAAAATAAAATAAGCAAAAAGATTTTAAAGAGTTAAAACAATTTGCAAATTTTCTACGAAAATTTTAGTTTTTAACAATACAATTTCTATGTCAATATGACCATTTATTGGAACAAGTCAAACTTCGCAAAAATAATCTTACATATTAAAATAAAAACTCATTGACTCCATTACATATCAAATATTAAAATTAGATTATAAAACTGGAATTTTTAAAAACTTAAAAATTACCTTGTGGTTGCACTTTTTCCAAAAATGGTTTAGCAGTTACAGCAAGATAAAGAGCTGTTGATTCAGCAGCAGTAAGAGCAGCTGAAGTAAATCTATTTAATCCTTTCACTTGATTGTACACAGCAGAGCCATATTCCATAGCACTACTCATAGCAGGGAGTTCTGACACTTTTTCCAGAAACTCACTCTTCATTTCTGGACTAGCAGTAGTTTGTTGTTGGGTTTCAGCTTCAGGATTTGCCATTTTATATTCAAAAAGTAGTGAACTAGACTTTCTAGAATTAAAGAATATTTCAGTTTTAATTAAAAGGCATTATATACATACGCATTAAAAGTTAAATTACAACTGTAAAAAAAAAATTACATTAATTAGGTGAATTCCTCTAGCTTTAAATATTTAAAATATATGTCATCAGTCAACACTTAAAATTTCTTTAAAAAAAAAAAAAGTTAAATTTAAGAACGATCGTAATAAGCTCAGGCAATAGGAGCCCCATATATTAAGATTAAACGAACTTAAAACATTTTAAAATAAAGAAATTTTATGCCAGTTTAGTTTTTTTAAGAACAAAATTTTGGAAAAATGCAGGGAAAAAAAAGTTTACAAAATAAAACAATTTACAAAGACTAGTTTACAATTAGGTTTGATGTTAGGTGCTCATACGCGAATAAACATTCGAGAAAATTCAGAATCAAAATATATATTAAACAAGCTTTACTCGATTTGCAGAACTATGTAATTAAAATAAAATGCTTTGAAAGGAAAGTTAATAAATTACAAAACATGCCACAACCTGTACAATACAAAAAAAAACTTAAATAGCTTTTGAAATTAAAATAGTGAGTGACAATTTTGCTCAATTTTTCCTGCTCAAACTTGAAACAAAATTAAATGGCTGAACATAAAACTTACAAACAAAAGTATCCTCACGTAAGTGGTTAGACACAATTAAATTAATTCTAAAGAGGACTTATTCCAGTAAAACAAAATTATTTATACTCAATTTCACACACTGACAGTTCAAAGTTCACATACGATATGTCATTTACGCACCTTTAAATTTGCATCCAATTGCGCTACTTGCTTTCTGGGCGGATCTAGCTTTGATCATGACATGACTTTATGACTACCATGTTACGAGTACTTATTGCTACTTTGGCGACATGTCTGAGTCAATATTAATCTTAATTTCATCATCTGACTAGATAAATTCCAGAATTGCTTCAGAAATATCTCTTAAAAACGGAAATAAAATTTAGAATTATAATCTTACACACTCGCAATCGAATACTAATTATAAATGTAAATGATTTCTATTTCTAAGAATAACTGAAATTCCAATTGGCGATCTGATGACGCATAAGGTTTTCGGCAAACCTAATGATTGAAAAAAACAAACAAAATAAACACGTGTTGCTTGCTCCTCTCTGAACTTTTGCAATACGTCATGGAGGGGGAAAAGTTTCTATCACATGATCACGTCAGTTTTACCTGTTGAATTCGAAGGAACTAATTAAAAAATACACGGCTTTTGGATTTATATCTATTTTAGTAAAATGAAGGGAAAAAGTTTGTGAAAAACTTTTATGTAGTCGATCTCATGCTTTTCTTTTCGAGATTTTTATTCTTCAATAATAAAAGTTTAAAAAAATATTGTTTTGTTGAATTTTAATTGGAATTTCTTTTCATATAACTGCAGGCACATGCATGATTTAAAAGTGAATTTCCATATATATATTTAGTATTATTAATAATGTATTAAATTTATATAATAATAAACAATATGCTTCAATTTTTTAAAATAAATTGTATGTCTTAATGTGGTAACAATTCAGGAAAATTCTATAGAATTCTGGAGAATTCTTTAAGGAAAGCATCCCATTTTGTGTCATAGTAAATTTTTATACTTTTATTTTTCTGTCACTTAATTTAAGCTTGAAACATACTAAATACATAAAACAAGTATTATAAATTTAAAAGAAAACCTAACTTGATAACTCAAGAGTAGAAACTCCCTTACAAAAAGTATAAAAATAGAATTTATCTTTTAACGTGTAGATCGCTCAAAATTGATACATGTTGGAAATTTTATTACACAATGCAGTATTATCAAAGGCATGTCTTTTTGACCTTGAAAAGATGGTGTACAGATCATTCGACCAAAACCGGGGCAACTGATCTCCACGCGCGGATCTGAAACAATTGAAAGATTGTCTTTTTATTTATTTATTATATAGTAAAATAATAATGTATATCCGGTGTGTTTTAACAAATATTTTCAATCAAATTACTTATTAATATGTTTTTCTTTTTTGGAAAACTACCTCAGAATAAAGTAATTTAAATGAGAAAACTGCAAATATTGCTTTTCAAACTTCAGCTGTACATTTTATCCTTTATGGCTTTTAAAAACTAAATATAAAAAAAAGAAGATTGCCTGTATTTTAAAAAAGGTAGGTAGTTACAAAATTAAAATGTCTTTATTTTTTATCACAGTGACGTTGTTGTTATTATTTTCGAACTTATAATTTCTTTATGCGTCAGGATGAGTAATAGAAAGATGAATCAGATCTCAATGCTCATTTTTTAAAAAAAAATCGGTTTAAAAAATTTTGTATTTTTCTGATTTTTCAAAAATAAAATGTTTACTTTTTATAAAACTGTTTTCTTAAAAATAAAAAAAAAAGAAAGCTGTACATTTTATCCTTTATGACTTTTAAAAATTAAAGATTAAAAAAAAGAACACTGCCTGTATTTTGAAAAGGTTTTGGTAGTTACAAAATTAAAATGTCTCTATTTATTATCACAGTGACGTTGTTGTTATTATTTTCGAACTTATAATTTATTTATCCGCCAAGTTGAGTAATAGAAATACGAATCAGACCTCAATGCGCATTTTCAAAAAAAAATCGATTTAAAAAATAAAAAAATTCTGATTCTTCAAAATTAAAATGAAATGTTTCCTTTTTCAAAAAACTGTTTCTTAAAAAAAAAAATGTTAAATAATATGTTATAAAGACTTAAAATAGTTTAGATATTTTGTTTTAAAAAAGAGCAAATTACAAGCTATAAACATTTTTTTATTTTATTTTATACCCGTCGTTGAACAGCCGACCCAATTTTTGGGTTAACGACTTCTAATGTTCAACTCCGTAGTCTTGTAATTTTGAACCAATCCAGAAGACAAACAAACTCCTGAATTAGTACCACCAGATGTATTGATTTGTTATGGGAACATAGAGGACATTGCGAGTAGACAGATTTAACGTGCACCAGTCACCATTTACTACACGGGAAGTCTTCGGAGGGCGGGGATCCAACCCACGAGCTTAAACACTTAAAATAATGTTTTCTTTTGTTAAGTTTATTTTGTACAGAAAAATATCTATGCTGAATAAGGTTTAAGTTAAGGCTCAGTAAAAATTTTAAATTTGAGACACTTTTAAGAAAAAATTGTATTTCATTTATTAAAATGCACAAGTCCCGCAGTGGACTGATCGTTAAGACACGGTTCCCAGCAGATCACCGAAGTCAAGCATCACTGGCTACGGTCAGTGTGCGGGTGGGTGTCCACTTGGATTAGTCTGCGTAGGGACTGAGGGTGTGCGGTATGGGTCCTCGTTAAACTGTTCTATCGTAAAGTGCTCGACTTCGCCTGCAGGTCGTCGAACTACCGAAGCAGGGGTGCCATCTCCTCTGCAGAGGATCAAAACGTGATGGCGTGTCTCCGGATCCTCCTCAGGGATGTTTCCCAGACCGTCGCCAATAGCCCATTGTGCAACTGTAGTGCAACGTAAATGAACTACAACAACAACTAAAAATAAAATATTTTCTTTTTATCAAAAGAAGAAAAGAAAAAAAGAAAATTATCAGTTGAATTGACTAGCCTCCGGCGAGCACCTGCTGGACCTCCCGCCTGCATGAAATCATGGATTCACAGTTCCACGTTGATTCCTCTACATTCTCAGCACAGTATTTTTTGTGTTAATCGGTAGATTAAAAATCTTCATCGGGCTCGCCTGTGCTGCCCATTTCTCCTGCACAAACAAAACATTGTTTTCATATAATCGTCCATCTGCATAAGCTCATCTCTTAGCGGTTCAATAGCACGAGAGCTGAAGAAGCAAGTCACATGATCCAAATTTTTAGAATACTTGAAACCAAAGACCTTAATGTCATAGCCAGGTCAAAGAATACGTCGCAACTTTCTACTTTTAAAAACTACCCGTAAGACAGCAAAATTAATGCCAGAAGGTTATCTGTACAAACTTGCTTTGCCGTTTTTCTTGCGTAATTTATGATAAAATAATTTTTTTACTGTCGTGAGAAGCGATTTTCTTCAGAATACTGACAAAAATTGAAGTTTAAAAAAAAAAAATACACACTATTAAATTACCAATTCAATTTTACAGACAGCATACTTTTAAAGCTTTGCATTTTTTCCAGACGAAAAATTTTCGCCAATCCTCGAAGTGCAATTTTGTTCAATCTATGAAGGGACCTAAAACTCTAACCTAACAATCTAAGAATTTTAACCTAAAATTCAAGATGAAGTGAATGGATCCGACAATCCGGTCGACTTCAATGTGTGTTCACACATTTTGATTTAAATACTAAACATTTAAAACCAGCAGATCAAATACTTTCACATTGAGATGTTGTTTTCTTTTGGTAACTTTATTTTGTACAGAAAAATATCAATGCTGAATAAGGCTTAAGTAAAGGCTCAGTAAAAATTTTAAATTTGAGACACTTTTAAGAAAACATTGTATTTCATTTATTAAAATGCGCAAGTCCCGCAGTGGACTGATTTATAAGACACGGTTCCCAGCAGACCACTGAAGTAAAGCATCACTGGTTGTGGTCAGAGTGCTGATGGGTGACCACTTGGATTAATCTGCGTAGGGACCGAGGGTGTGCGGTATGGGTCCTCGTTAAACTGTTCTACAGTAAAGTGCTTGACTTCGCCTGCAGGTCGTTGGGCTACCGAAGCGGGGGTGCCCTCCCCTCTGCAGAGGATCAAAGTTGTGATGGCATTTCTTCGGATCATCCTCAGGGATGTTTCCCAGACCGTCGCCGATAGCCCATTGAGCAGCTCTAGTGCGATGTAAATGAACTACAACAGCAACAAAAATGCACAAAGTTTAAAATATGAAAATGATCTATAACGTATTTGTTTCTGAACTGTAAGTACATGCTTATGACAAATATCGTGACGTGTAAAAAGGAAAAACAGTTTGTGATAAGGGTGGGGGATAAAAAAAATGTGTGTCATCGTTTATGACAGCCTTCATTTATATGGAACAATGTTTCAATTTTATTTTTGGAAACAATGAAAGACTTTAAGAAGAATTCTATAAGAAACTTCTCAGTATTATGTATCACTTCCCAGAATCAGAACGTTTTCAGCTGGAATTTAATACATGAGCATCGTTGGAGAGAGAGAGAGAGTGGACAGTGGGTATATGCTCCCTTTAATAAGTAGAAATCTCTAAAAATCCTCCTTAATATTTCAGACAAATAAAAAAAAAATTTTTGAATTATTATTGATTTAAATTCCTTAAAGATAAGTGAGAAAAAATTTTTTTGTGGGAATTTAGCTCATAATTCTTTTATTTTTTTTATTTGTAAAATTAAGAAAACAATTTTGACTGTGTCATTATAATTTCATCTTCAAAAATATAGCTCGTGCGACGCACATGTTTAACCCTTTGACACAAAATTTTTATCAAGCATATTTTTCATACTTTTTTTTCTAATTATTTCGTACTTATTTAAGTCAAAATATGCGAAAACTATTACATTTAGCATTTTAACAATTTATGGCTATGCAATACAGCTAGAAACTCTGAAGTGCTTTTCTGCATTAAAGGTAAAATATTCCAAACACGGCTCACTTTCAAACAAAAATTTTTCAAATTTGCACTTATTTAGATCTAAGAGAAACAGTTATTCATGATTGAAGTTTCGTTATTTTACAAAATCAATAATTGATAAAATTTTGAATATAAATTTTTAAAAAAAAATTCAAACATCTTTTTTTTGGAGGGGGGGAATTTATATTTTAGTACTAATGAAATTTTAATAATTTAGCAGGCTTCTTTAGTAACTATTATACTGTCTTTTTATAATTAAAAAAATACTATAATATACCGCGCTTGTAATTAGAGTGTCAGTAAAAAATATATATACCGATTTACCATCTGCATCAAACTATTAATAATGGCATTTTATAAGTGCAGTTGCAGTTTCGTTTGTCATATCAATGTTTGTATTGAAACGAGAAGGTTTACAGGCTTAAGAATATATTATATAACGGTGGTCACACACTGACGGCCCGCCTAGCCTTTTTTTTTTTTTTTTTTTTTTTTNTTTTTTTTTTTTTTTTTTTTTTGTGGCCCGCGAACTATAAAATATTAGTTGTCACT